GATCCAGTTCATGACTTCCACCGATGTCGGGCTTCCAGATAGACATGGGGATTTGGATTCCATGAAATCCTTGTATTTGCATCTACGTTCTTCATTTCCTCTATCCTGGTGGTTTCGACTAACTATCGGTGGGTTGGCTTGACCAACAGTCCCACTGTAGTTTCCTCCTTCTGACTACCCATCATTTAGCTTGGTCTGTTCAATTGGTACCGTAAGTTCTTCTCGGTTCCGTTAAAGTAAACACCTTGTTTCCGCCATTTAGCGATCCAACATCATCTGGATCATCGCTTGCACTCCGGCCATCGTCATTGGCTCAGGTGCCAAATCTACAACAACTGGTATTTGCTGTATCACTGGAGGTTGATGGGGTTGATTCCTATTTCCATTTGTGTTTACGTTTACGCTAAGGGTCATTTACATCTTGATATATACACCGAATAAGGTGAATTTAGATCTTTATTTAGGATTGATGTTTAAATAATCCTTATCATTCTAAAATGTTTACTTGTTAGTTCTAATATAGTCGTCACACGTTTAGAATCCAAAACACATAAGACTTCCAGATCTGGTCGGCAACAGATTATAGATGCGAACAAATAACAACATATCAGGCACAAAACATTTAGCACGTAAAAGCATTTTAGGCATAATTCCTAAAATAAGCCAGTGCTCACATCTCACAATCATCGCTTAGCATTCTAAGTTTAAGTCTAGAAATCCTACAAATTCCTAGTTTGCTTAAACTAATGCTCTGATACCAACTGTGACATCCCCATTTTCACGGCCAGAAAAGACAGATTTTGTTTTATGCTTGTTTGAAAATCAGAGTAATGTTTTACATAAAAGTGTTGCGGAATTTGTACCCAAAATAAAAATATGATAAAGATTTATCAAAGCATTTCCATAGAAATGTATTTCATTAAAAAGACTCGGGATGTCATGCTCGATACATATCAAAAGTATAAACAATACAATATAATCCTTACTACATTATTTCAAATCTACAGGACTATATCCGTAATACCATCATCCGAAACAACACATCTATGCTCGAGCACCACTACCTATAATACATGAAACTGAGTAGGTCAGGCTTGGGAGCCTGGTGAGCAGATAAGGTTTTCAGCCCATAATAAATAAGTTATTTAATTTCATCAACCAACAATAACCTGATTACCCGTTCCCGTTATCCTCACTTTACGTCCCTAAAACACCTATCATAAGGGACCTAGCCTAAGGATCATCATCGGGATGGACGCTACTGCTAAGGGGATTCCTCAGCAATAAATGTCCTTAAGGCAACCATGAGGGGGATGGAGTACATTGGTGAACACATCGTTCACAAACACCTACAGGTTGCGAGCCTACTTGCGTTCCACAGGACTGTCTAGAAGAGTTTGTGGTCGAATTCCATACTCCGCTAGATGACAAAATCAACAACAACAACATCGGGGCCTCTCATCATTTTATCACACATCGTCTATTACATCTAACCATGTTTTACCCCAACATTTTTGTAGATATAAAATACATATACAGTTTAAATCATTTAAAACATGTATAAAATCATTCATCCAGCATAGACAACAAGTATTCAAATAATATGCGCACATAGCACGTAATTTATATAAAATCCTTCATATCTATGTGTAAGATGAAACTGACTATACACTCACCTGAAAAGGTGGTGATTCTGCCCTCGAACATCGCTTTGTTATCTCAAAACAATTATCCCTCGATAAAACCTAGTATCAATATCACTAGGGTTTAGTCTAACGTTAACCGCGACTAATTAATAGTCTAGGTATTATTACTATTATATAAGCATTAAACAAAACTTATATAACCCATAATAATAGCCCAAGTACTTATTATAAGTTCCTAATAATGTTACTATAAGTAAATAAAATCTATATTAAAAATAACATAGGTGTAGCTCACTTACAACGGGTTTTATAGAAAACCGGACTTCGCTTGGAGCAGCGTTTCCAAACCGAAAGACCCTTTTTCTCGGGAATCTGGGAGCCTCTTGGATTCCTTTGGGTTCTAGGGGGGGTTCCCTAGGGTGTAGGGGAGTTGGAATTGGTTAAAGAGAGAAGTGGAAATGTACAAGAAATCTGGCTGCCTTCGCACCTTTTATATAGGGCCTGATCCTCGAACTACGCTGTGCGTTCGGAAGGGCTACGATGGGCGTAGATTTTGATAAGGTGCGAAGTGGAGTCTCCGGGTGGTATGACATGCAGCTTCTTAGGCCGAGGAGTGCGAGGTGTCACGAATCTGATGTAGGTACCGAGGTCAACGATAAAGGGTCTAGATTTCGCCACATCATCAACTCGTATCAGACTTCGCAAATTCATGCTCTGACTTCTAAAAATCATAACTCTAGCATACAAGCTCCGTTTCCAACGATCTTTATATCCATGCAGAGGCGGGAATGTACTCTATAACTTTCATTTAGACTCCATTGGCTAATTTTGAATCTATTTTAAAAGTTATATTTTTAACAGGTCGGGACATGATTGGTCCATTAAAATCTCATAACTTCTTCATTTGAAGTCCGTTTTCATCTGTCTTTTTATTGTTACACTAATATTAAAGAGATCTTCAGTTCTCATTTAGGTTGTGCCAGCTAAAAACCGCTCGATCTAATATTCGAACTTCGAGTTGTACACCGCTAAGCCAAAACTTCGAAAAATCATAACTTCCTCATACGAGGTCAGATTTGGGCGTTCTTTTTATTGATGCTCTCGGTTTAAAATATTCTACGTCTTTCATTTAGGTTGCTAAGGCTACAACTCGCTCTATCCTAAACTCACTATTTATGCTTCCTGGTGTCACGCCGGTTCCGTCGTGAAACTTCGACATGTCATAACTTCTTCGTTATAACTCGGATTTCGGCGTTCTTTATATCCCCAAAATCCTTGTTTCAACCACTACAACTTTATGTAAAGATATAGGGCTTATATCACACTTTAAGTTTAACGCTTATTTTTATCATTTGTTTATTATTAAGTTTATAAATAAGTAATAAGCACATAAATACACATAATTCACATAGTATTCAAATATTTCATCTTTATTACTTCAAAAGAGTTACAATACTTGACATAGACTATTACATTGTCTAAAAATGCTTAGCCCCGAAACTCGGGCGTTACAATTCTCTCCCCATTAGGACGATTCCATCTCGGAATCATGCATCATCAAACAGATGTGGGTAGCGACTCATAATGTCACTTTCTGTTTACCAAGTGAGATTTGGCCCATTTGAATGTTTCCATTGGACTAGCACTAAGTCGACCATCTTGCGTCGTAATTTCTTAGTCTTACGGTCAACGATTGCCTCAGGCTCTTCAATTAGCCTCTTATTCTCATCTATTCTTAACTATGAGATTGGAATTATGTCGGGAACTTCTCCCATGAAATTTCTCAGATAACACACATGGAAGGTGTTCTGAATACCATCTAGTTCTTCGGGTAATTCGACCTTGTAGGCTTGGTTCCCAATCTTCTGAAGATCTTTGAACGGTCCAATAAACCTTGGACTCAACTTTCCTCTTTTCCCAAATCTTATAAGTCCCTTCCACTGTGAGACTTTAAGAAAAACCGAATCCCCAACTTCAAAGGTCATCGATCGTCGTTTCTTATCAGCATAGCTCTTCTGACGATCCTGATCTGCTAACATCCTTCCCCTGATCACCTTCAACTTCTCAGCAGTCTCATGAACTATCTCGGAGCCCGTAAACTGCTTTTCCCCAGCCTCAAGCCAACAAGACGGCGTACGACACTTTTGTCCATACAAAGCTTGATAAGGCGCCATCTTGATACTCGAGTGGAAACTATTGTTGTAGGAACATTCTATCAAAGGTAAGTGCTCATCCCAGTTACCTTGGAAATCCAGGGTACATGCTCTTATCATATCTTCCAATGTTTGTGTTAGTCCCAAATTTAATGATCCAATTCAGTAATCAATGAAGTTGATTATAATAAAGGAGAGATGTAGAAGAGGAAGAACTAAAATCAAGCATGCACACATCTATATTCAGTAAATGTCAAGTACATCTTGAGAAAAGTACAACTGTTGCAGAGTTCTAACACAAGCAATCAATACAAACTGACACAAATCAATTGCTATAAATAGTACTCCTCCTACCAGTACAAGAGTGTGTAGTCAAACACATGTGTGCGGCCGCACACAGTATGTGCGGCCGCACACACATGTGTGGCAGCACACATTACACGATAACATACAATCACTGCAAAATGACACTATCATCTAAACAAAATGATGCCTAGCTCAAACCACAAAATTATGTTCTTTCAGTCTCCCCCTTGGTTTGAGACTAGCATAGTCTTATCTTCACTCCTTTGGCTCATCAGCAGGCTTCTCAAACAACCTCAGATCTGATCTCCCCATTGATCCCATCCACAATCTTCCATTTATGATCGTGGCTACCATAGCAGTGAATTCTTTAGCAGCAGCTTCCATGACATCCTTTCTGCAAATGATTTGATGACGGGCCAAAGTTCGTATATCCCTTTCTCTGAAACGGAGAAGATCTTTAGCACTAATCACTCTCAGAATATGTTCTCGATTCTTGAATTTGATGGCTGCAGTAGCTTTTTCGTCATCATATGCCCAAAATTCCATGTCATCTAGATATCCCTCATGAAAATCTTGAGGAATAGGAATTTCCTTTTGTTTCTTAGTTGCAGGCCAGAGTATAATCTTCATGGGTTCGCCTGTTTCTTGATCAAGAACATCTTTGTCCTTTTTATATAGGGCTTTTTCAGTCTTCATTGATGGAAAGTTCTCTTTCACCTGTCTGTTGAGAAATCTTTTCAAATTTGAAGCATTAGGATCTTCAGAGGGGTTATTGAATGGGGCCCTGGATAATTCAGCTAGATCAGTTTTGGACCAAGAGTTGAAATCATGGGTGATTTTGTAACATTCAGATGCTCCTGATTTTTGCTTTACAACCCACAAATTCATCACTGGATCAAAGGCCCGCATTCGGATGCCTGTCCTGTCACCATACTCATCACCGAACTTTCTTTTCTTCAAATCTATTACTGTCAAGACAGGGTCTCTTGTTTTGCGATTTTCATTAGAATTTTTCATGAATAAAAGGCCTTTGCTTTGTTTTGTAGTTACGATTCTTTTGCCATGCTTGATTGTGATTCTGGCTCTGCTTCCTTCAGGTTCTTTTTCAAATCTGTCGACAATGGTAGTTGTTCTTGGAACAGGTGGGTCAACAGGTAGATCATCAGTTGCAGGAGGTGATTGAACAGAAGGAGGATCAACTACTCCATGAGGCTGTTGGAAGAGGGATTTGTCTTTTTCACCAAAAGCATCGTACAATACATTCTTGAGATTGAAATAATTAGCTAGAACAGATCCAAGACTCGTTTGTAGATCATTGATTTGTTTGGTCTTTTCTTCATCTTTTGCTTTGAGCTCAAAAATATGTGCAGAAAGCTGATCCATCTGAATTGACTTTTCAATGAGCTGTTGACGGAGAATTCCAATTTCTTCTCGGAGATCAGATGAAGAGGATTTGTCATCATCTGTCTGACCCTCGTTAAATGATATTCCTTTTCCGCGTGAAGAGGTTGGACTAGATTGAGCCAGATGTTTTACTAATCTGATAGAAGCTTCATCTAGAGAAGGTCGTGTTGGAGAATATTATGGAATAGAAGAGGATCCACCAGTCTCGAACATGGTGCTTGGACCTTCATCAGTCTGCTTTGAAGGAGAGTGAGCAGTGGTTGCAGTGATTGTTGAAATAACTTGAGGAGCACATTTTACAGAGGGTACCTCCAGACTTTCAAGATATTGACATGTTCTTATGGAGGTCTGAGAAGTCTGAGGTTCAGATAAGATAGAAATGACTGGAGTTGATGTTGAGACAGGTGACACAGAGGGAGGAATCTCTGATGTCACATCCCCTTGGCTTGTTGTGATTTCCAAGGGCTTTGAGGTAGAGAGCAGAATTTTGAGAAAATTTCCTTCATCTCTAGTCTTGGTTGCTAGAGAAGCAACTTCATTGACTTTATTTACACGACTGTTGGGAATATCAAGAAAAGGATCAAAATCTTCATCACCAAAATCAAACTCTATGTTTGTTGGAATGTCATCATTGATTCCTGTAAAGTCGATTTCTTTCAAAAACTCCACATCTTCATAAAGATCATCATCATCATCCCCTCGAGAAGATTTTGAATCATTTGCTTTCTGATAATCATGCTCATCAGCTACACAAGCTGTGGGAGAGTGATGAATCTCCTCCACTTCAGGTTCGGAGGGAGAGTGATGAATATCTTCATTTTCCATCAGCATGGATTGATCTGCTGATTCTTCTCTGACATCCTCTTTAAAAATTCCAAATTTTATTAATGGAAATTTTCCTTCAAATACGAATTTTCCGCCTCTCTTTTGCTTCATTAATCCAAAGGCACTTGGACCAATGGATTTGAAATCCAGAGTATCATTTCCTCTCTGCAACTCGGGGTGAGTTACATTAAGGATGATTTGTAAAAATCTTGGATACATACAAAATTTGTCTCTTTTGCTTCCTTCAATATTTAGTATCATTTCATTCATTATGAATTTTGAGAAATTAAACTCAAAACTTGCTGCCAATGCAGCAATGGCACCAGTGTTGGCTAGAGAAATCTCGTTAGCTCCTGATCTCCGGCCAGAAATGCAACTCATGAACACATGAGCCAAAAGCTTCCAGCATGGAGGAAGCAGCTTTTTGATTTGTAGGAGGAAAAGTTCCTTCGTATCCCATATGCTCCAAAAATTTCTCAATTTGATGAACATCAATCTCCACGAGGTACTCAGGTCTGTCCTCAATTTGAAGAGATTCTCTGATGATGCTTTCTATTACTAGAATTTTCTTGTCTTCGATTGTTGTTTCCAGAAAATTTTCACCTCGATCATTCTTCTTTACATCAGCATTTCTCCAGAAACCCTTAATCAAACTTTGGTAGATAGTAGGATTTGTAGTTAAGCAATGAACCAAGCATGATTTCTTAAAACCATCCATAATGAATTTCAAGTCACTATGGGCTGCAGGAGGATCTTCAAGAAAAACTGCAGAATTATGAGCTTTAGCGAACTCCATGTCTCGCATTTTAATCTGAAAGGCAGCACACAAGATTATTAGGGGAAAACTATGAAAATGATGTAGCCGCACACGAAGTTACATGCAGCCGCACACTCACGTGTGCAGCTGTACACGGTTAGCCGCACACATTTATTCATGAAATAGTGTGGCAGCACACGGTCAGCCGGACCCGCTTATTCATGAAATAGTGTGGCAGCACACGGTCAGCCGCACACGAACGTGTGCGGCCGCACACACCGTGTGTGGTTACCCTTGAAGATAAACAAATTTTTTATGATGATTCAACAGCAAACTATATAAAATTTTGGTGAAAGTAATTAAAAATTCAGCCGTGTTCATGAGAATTACCAAGTAAAAGCTTGTTTTCACAAAAACTTAATGGAAATTCAAGGAGTTTGAGAGAGTAAATATGTGTGTGCGGTTGAAGCAAGGAATAGTGACGATACGTTTTTCACCGCACACACACACACACTATATATATATATATATATATATATATATATATATATATATATATATATATATATATATATATATATATATACAAAAATTTTCACTTCCTCCCCCTTTTCCTTTAATTATTCATCCCAAAACCCCTTTCACTCACAATTTTCTCAAAGATGAATTATTTTGAGCATTAATAGAATATTAATTTCAAAGATCCAAGAAAAATTTAAAATAAAATAAAAAATAAATTAAAAATTAAAAAATAATAAAATAAAATAAAATAAAATAATAATAAAAATAAAATGAGATTGAAAATACTATTGACGACAAGAATCAATTTAAACATATATAAATTGTTTTAACCTGTTGAGGTTTAGGGATCAAAGTTTTTAGACAACCATTATCCACTTGTCGATACCTTTCATATTCACATCTTTGTCTGGTCGATTTTCGGTATTGTTGTCCACTTAAACACGAAAAATTGTGACAAAATTAGGACATGCTATAAGTGACAAGACAATGTGATCTTAAATTCCTAGATATTATATCTGATCCTAAGTTACTAGATACTATATCTTAGGGACCATTCAGCTGACGAAGACCAGGGATATTGTTGTCCATCTAAATTAAGCAGCGAGATCTATAGACAATCTATGAGTGTTCAATTTTAATTGTACTGGAACATGTTTCCCGCTTCCAAATATGCCCCGTTAATCAAGGACTTCCAGAGTACTCCTTACATCGGATGAGCAGACCATCATTAGGGGAGAAGATAGATTCAGAGTATTATCACTTATAGTGCATATGTTGTGTACCAGGTCGGATTGTTAGTCACGCAAAGGAGATAGCATATGGCTAACAGATAAGAGGAATTTCATATATGTATATGTATAATATGCGGAGAAATAGAGTTGCATATGTTACAGTCCAGGTCGGACCTCTTCCAATCACGCAGAGGAGGTAACATATGACTAACAGACAAAAAGAAAGAAAATGATTTTCTACAGACCTAATTTATCGGAATTTACCAGTTGCCCCATCAATACCGGAATTAAGGACAGAATCCGCACATGGAGGAAAAGTTAAACCACGGTTCCAGATACGGGTTCATTTAATGTGACTAGTAGGTTCATATATATCTCCCTGCTCAACCTATCTGAGCGTCGTATTGTCAGGCTAAACGAAACTATCTAGGTCAAGATTTGTCAAGTCATTTGATTTCCTAAGTTCAATTTTGCCTAGTCATGTCCATTTAGAATCTTTCGTGCTTACCGACACATTAAACCAGAGCATAGACCCTTCAACTTTGGGTACGTTACACAGACTCAGGTTGCCTGTTATCACATGATCATATCACTTCCTAGAACATCTCCCTCAAACATAATTTTTAATTTTTAATGTTAATGTTTTTGGATTTCTATTTTTTTAAGTTTTTTTTGGGTTTTTGTATTTTTAATGTTTTTGGTTTTTCTATTTTTTAATGTTTTTGGATTTTCTATTTTTTAATGTTTTTGGATTTTCTATTTTTCTCCCCCTAAATTTGTGCATAAAAATAAAATGAAATAAAATGCGCAAATTTATGCTAAAAAAAATAAAAATAAAAATAATCCTCAAAATGAATCACTTTTAGAAAATTAACCAGAACATCGAATCGAGCTTTGTTAAAAGGCTTGGTGAACAGATCTGCTACATTATTATCAGAACGGACCTGTTCTAGCCGAATGAGCAAACGCTCATAACATTCTCGAATAAAATGAATCTTGATGTCGATGTGCTTGGTTTTTTAGTGCTGGACCGGGTTTTTGGCAATTTGAATCGCAGCCTCATTATCACAAAATAATAGGGGTTTCTTGAAAATTCAAACCGTAGTCCAACAACTGATGTTGAATCCAAATGACTTGAGAACAACAAGTAGATGCAGCAACATATTCCGCTTCTGTTGTTGAGGTTGAGACTGTATGCTGCTTCTTGCACTGCCATGACACCAATCTATCTCCCATAAATTGGCATCATTCTGAAGTCAATTTTCTATCAAGCTCACACCCACCATAATTGCTGTCTGCAAAAGCATAGAGATCAAATTCGGGATTTTTCGGATATCCAAGACCCAGTTTTGGGCAACCTTTGAGATATCGAAAAATCCTTTTAACAACAATTAAATGAGAGAGTTAAGGATTAGCCTGGTAGCGAGCACATTGACAGACCGCAAACATGACGTCTGGGCGACTAGCAGTAAGATACATAATTGATGCGATCATTGATCGATAATGAGTTTGATCTACGGATTCACCCTCAAGATCAGGAGTCAGAAGAGGCCATTCCACCGTGGGCGTAAGAGCAGGTTTTGCGTCTTGAAACCCGAACTTCTCCAGTACATCTTCCACATATTTTGCTTGATGAATAAGGATTCCGGTTGAAGATTGTTTTACCTGAAGCCCCAAAGACGTGGTCATTTCCCCAAGTGAACTCATCTCAAAGCGCTTCTTCATCACCGCTTCAAACTCCTTGCAGAGTTGTTGACTTGTCGACCCGAAAATGATGTCGTCCACATAAATTTGAACGAGAATTTGATCTGGACCGACATGCTTGAGAAATAAGGTTTGATCAATGGTGCCTCGGGAATAGCCGTGATTGAGCAAATGTTGAGTAAGAGTAGCATACCAAGCTTGAGGAGCTTGATGCAATCCATACAAAGCTTTGTCTAACTTGCAAACATGGTTTGGAAGAGATGAGTTAACAAAACCAGGTGGTTGGTCAACGTAAATCTCCTCCTTGACCTTGTCGTACAAGAAAGTCGTCTTAACGTCCATTTGGTATACAGTAAAGTTCATGTAGGAAGCATAAGCAAGGAAGATACGAATGGCTTCCAAACGAGCAACTGGAGCATAAACTTCTGTATAATCAAGACCCTCAATTTGCCGAAACCCTCGAACCACCAATCTTGCCTTGTTGCGAACAATGACACCTGAATCATCTTGTTTATTTCGAAATACCCAATGAGTATCAAGAGATTTCTTTCCTTTTGGTAGCTCCACCAATTTTCAGACTCCGAGTTTCTCAAATTGATTTAATTCATCATGCATGGCTTCAACCCAGCTGGGCTCATTCAAAGCCATTTCGACAAATTTAGGTTCTATTTGAGAGATGAAGCAAGAGTAGAGACATGTATTAACATCCCCACTTTTACTTCTCGTTTGAAAACCGATGCCCAACTGGCCAATGATGTTCTCTATCGGATGATCTCGCTGAATACGTGTAGGGATCTGATAACTAATATCATTGATAGAAACAGGAAGATTATGAATATTAACCGCTCCATCATTTGTTGTATGATCTGTAGAGGATGAACAAGGTTCGTTTGAAGAATCTGCTACAAACTCTTTTGCAATAGTTTCTTGAAAGAGAAGTTCCATCAGATTTGAAGTTACAGCAGAAGTCTCGTGGTTCATGAACTCTCTTTCCATCGGAGTTAAAGGAGTAACAATAGCATCAAGAGAAGGTTGTTGAGGAGACTCAGAAGATTCAATATAAGCAGAGGGTACCAATGGAGGATCAGAGGAAATCAATGGTGGTCGATAGACAACTTCATCATCTTCGTCTTCACTAGGAATCTTCGAATTGGACGTAGATCCTTTTTGATTATCTGAAGACACATTGAATGATTTGAAAAGAGATGTGTAGTCAAATAACCAATCAGGACCCACTCTTGCATCTGTTTCATTTTCTTCAAGCCAACAAACATCAAAGGATTCTACAATGT